CGGAGGTTAACATGTGTCTAGACGATGCGCAGCCACTCGAAACACCCTTCCGACTCCGCTATAGACGCATTTTGGTTTTGCGAACGCCTTTCAGGCGACCCTGCAAGGTCGGGAAGCGAGAGATATAAATCGAAAATCCAGTTGATGTATTTTTCTCTTGAGAAAAATAAATCGAAACGCGAAAATTCAGAGAAGTATTTCATCTCGATTTACCGATTTCTCTGAGTGTATGGGACCGCTTTTTTTTTCCAAATTATTTCACCACATTACCTGCAACAATGTCTTGGAATTGCATGGACCCAAATCCAAATGCAATCGCACGATTCCCCCGCGGTTTCGAAGAATCTCTGCAATGCAACAGGAAACCCCTTCCAATGACCTGCTGCATCGGTGTTTCTGGCTCGACCAGTGAAAATTCCTAGAAGAAACCCTTACCGTTACGGCCGAAAGTGTTATCACTCAGGGAAATTTATAGTGCTCAATTCTTCATAGTTATAGCGATGTTTTCCAACATCAAATCCCCCATCCGAAGGAGTAAATCAATGTATATTTCAATTGTACGAAACATAATATAACAGAACTAAGTTTTTTTTTTTCAATGGAACCGAAAAAAAGGGAAACACCTTGGAACGGAAAAGGAACATGAAATGAAAAATTTTAAGCTCTTCAGCCCTGCTTCCGAAATTTTAAACAGGCACATCCAGTCCTATCCGCAAAAATCTCGAGCTTGAGGCTCCTTGAATATTCGCACAGGCACAAATGGATGGAACTGAAAACAGATTCAGCCAATAACATCTTGCGAAAATCTCGATCCTGATTATTGAATCAGAAGGGATCATCCCGATGGATCAAGGTGGATGCAACTGGATGCAATCCCATGCGACAAAGCGAATATACGACCGCAAGAGAGGCGGATGTGAGCCAAAGTTTGTTTCTGAAACATCACTGCATTTGAGGGAAAGTAAATATCTCACGCTTTATTTTATTTAGAGTAGGAGCGATGTGATGCTTTCATGACAAAATTGAGTTTTCATGGAATTAGACGAAATTCGCGGTGCCCAATTGTTACAATTGCATTTATATGCAAAAGACTAAAACGCCGAGACTAAGAGAGACCGTTTCTGAGTTGTTAGCCGTTTCATCATCGGTTTCCCCCTATTTTAAATATTTGCAGTTTCACACGAAGAAAACGAGAAGACAATTACGGCATTAATATCCTGATTCCTCCTGCCATGAATAAGATATTAATTTCTACCTATTTCCTTTTTTCTTTGTCGATGAGAAGTAGTGAAAACGTTAGGAAAGGATCAGGAAGTATGTTCCGAAATAAAAGTCGTGCTTGAATTTTCGCTCAATGGAAGCTACAAATGAAATCGTTGGAAGCTTTTGGCCATCTTAAACCCAACAGAGAATGTGAGTTGCAGACAAATATATATATTCAAGTTTCAAGCCTTGCACAGGGTGACAAAATTACAACAAATGCGTTCGTTCCTCCTGCAATTACAATATCAATTTCTTCTCTAATCAATGCAGCATCCAGTCGTACGACTGCATCTGCTAGTTGTCTTACAGTTCAAACGCTTCCGTGATTATAAACATAGAGATGAAACGAGATTTGGTGGGAGTTGAGGTCGATGGAGATGAAGGTGCTGAGCCTTGTGCCCTTTAACCCTTGTCGTGCAGAGGAGACAGGGCCTGTCTCCTAGGGCCAGGGACCTCCAACCCTTTTAGCCAAGGGCCGTTTTGAGTTATCTTCTGGGACCGGAGGCAGACACCGATGACTTTTCACAAACGTTCTCTAAATTTTCTGTAATTTTTAAAACTCGTGAGAGCTGATGTGGAAGGCCGGATTCGGCCCACGGGTCGTAGATTGTGGACTCCTGCTCCAGCTGTTTCACATCAATAAACGTCGCCGTTCCCCATGCAGGATCCAACACCTGCACCCCACGTGTTCCTAGTGAACAACGGAAGTTTTGTAGGTCATAGCCCTGAGCGTCTGAGTTATGTTTCAAGGCAGTAACCTGTGTGTGGAGTATCGCGGTTTGCGTGCTGCGCGTCTTCAAATTTTGCTTTATTTATTTACGTGTGTTTTCCTGTGCATGTAATTTTTTCCCGGCCAACAATGGCTCGTTGGGCTGAAAAAGATATCGGTTTCGGCGAAGGACTAAGGCCTGCCAATATTTTAGCCCACATTGCAGCAGGGGTAGGTAGGTACAAAATTCAAATTGAAAATTTTTCGATTTTACGAATTAAATCGGCCCTCTTGAGAGTACGTGGCATGTTTACATCGACACGACAAGGGTTGACTTCCTCTTTCCTATCTGAGTCTCAATGATGAACACGAAAAAGGAAATAGCATATCCGCCAAGGAGTGGCATGAAGGCCCAAGCCAACTGAATGAGTGTTAGTTGTCTCGGTGGCTTTGCCTCCTCCTGGGTGAGTGCAATCTCTTCGAGCTTGGCCTTCCTCTCTTCCTCCAGCAGTTCCTTCCACCAATGTGGGATCAGCGCTCCTTCCCCCAGCCCGGATATGGCTCGCTTCAGCAGGTCCTTGAAGTATGCATGGCGTGGAATCACAAATCCAACGTTGAATCCCTAGGGTAGGAATAAATATTGAAAATACATTGTATATGGGAGCTTGGGACTATACAAATGCTTAAACTTTTGGATGACTTGCGCCAGATGTTACTAAAGCCTAAGGATTGACTTCCTTGTGTGTTCGTATTGAACGGGGTTCAAATGAATCGATTAGTCCCTACAGGGATTGAATAGTTAAATTATTAAAGCAAAAGCAACAAACACCTGGTGCATGTCAGCCATTCTTTTCTTTTTTTTTCACTCACTTGAATGCATTCTTCCGGTACAAAAACGGGTGATTGTCCGAGTGAATCAGTAAATTTTAGGAATTGGGTATATTTCACGGCTGTCCCGGCATCAAAATATGCTGCGTCTCCCTTAGCTACGTACACCAACGCCTGCTCCACCGTGGGGTATTCTTTCAAGTTCCAGATCTTCAGCCTCTGAAATCGTTCTCCAGCCTCACCGCGAAGCAGGATATCCAAGAGTTCGTTCTTCAGGACTGGGAGTTTGCTGTCGACGAGCTCTTCGAAGTTGGAAATGGGCCTCATCTTCTTGATCACGGAGAACTGGGAGAGTTGCTCGCTGGTGTAGTTGGTGCTGATGATGAGCGCGAAGAAGGAGACGATGGTGATGAAGAACTTGGTGGACAAGCTGTAGACGTCGAAGCTCTTGGGAATCTGGCGCGAGAGCAGCACCGCTATCACCTCGAGGGTCGACAAGGACATCGCCCCGAATTTTCTCGCCCTGGATAGGATGAACCGGTTGGCCACGATTGCCACCACGATCGCGACGCCCAAGGCGATCCAGACCTAAGCCGTTACGGAGGAAAGGAGACCAGGAAATGATCTATTCACAGACGATTTCACGCTGTTGCCGAGGGAATGTATTCACGAGGTTTACTTGGGAGTAACATTTTATAGTTTCTTCGTTTCGATAATGCGACTGCGATGCGTTTCTAAGCGTACTACGGTTGTAACATTCGTCAGTGTACTATAGTGGGGTGACAGTCAGAATTTGAAACAATTATCAGGAAATACTGCATAACGGGAAATATGCATGAACCAGTGCTGCCGATTCCAGATTATTCCCACCTTCTTCCAGGGAAATAAATTATGCTTTCCCTAAATGATTTGACTGCTCAAAACATAAATATTTCCAGCAACTAACGAAAATTTCCGGCTCCCGTTATTTTCGCAGCATCTCGATCAAACAAGTCATTTTGATAGCAGTTTTCGAAGACCACCATTAGTCGATGCAATGCAACTTCAAACCCATCATGAAATGAAAATGAAATGAAATGAAAGAGGCTTGACTCTTGCGAATGGTCCAGAAGTGCGCAAGTAGATATTAAGCTAAGTTTCTAAATATTAAATTGGGCAATAAGAAAAGGACTAAAACGGTCTAAATTGCTTGCGCTATATGACAGATTCCCTATTTTTCACGTTTGTGATTTTGAAGCGGTGATAATATTTTACATGCCCCTGTAACATATGAGTGCATCCGGTGATCAAGCAAAACTTGATCCCGTATCATTCTGAGAGCGTTCACAGGTAATTCCTCAGTCGAAATATTTTCAATCAACTCTTGATCTTCAATATATATACGAGTATATATGTATATATATACTTCACAACGTTGGAATTTCTGCCTGATAAACAAGCGACGTGCCCCACAAAATTAAATTACCCCTGATTTGGCTTCTTAACACCTGATCTAACTCAAATCTCAGGATGTGATCATATTCGGAATTATAGTCTGATATATCATGAGTCATGATTCGATTTGTCCTTACATTTTCCCCAAAATTCAAAATATACATGGTGGAGGAGTCGTGAATGGGCCTCGGCTGTCACGCCAAGAGATTTTCCATATTAGCAACGGTCGTCCCAATTTGTTGAAGCTCAGTGAAATCCGAAAATGTAGCATTTTTTCTTGATATTCTCATAAATCATGTTTAAAAACGGAATCGATTGCCTCTTCTCGACCTATGGTAGTGACGCCACCTAAGTTATTTAAATGGGAGTAAAGAGCATTGGCTCCTTGGATGAATCGACAAGAAAAAAAGCACATCCTTGAATGAGAAATGGAATGGAACGTTCCCAGAACATGCTGTTTCTTAGGCGATTGACAGGAAAAAGTATGAATGTTTTTGTTGGAAATTTCAGCTCACCCGATATTCAAAGATGTAGATCAGGGTGAGCCAACGGGAGAGTTCCGGCCAGGGTACGGCAATCACGGTGCACTCGTAGTCGTAGACGACCATGTCCAGTGCCTGGGACCTGTCGTACATGAAGTAGAGGTCTGCGAAGGCCACGTCCGCCCTTCCGTAGAACACATCTCCCACGATCCCATCGATGTAAGTGCCGTTCGGACTGATCCCTCCCCAGGCACCGTCGAAGGGCAGACGATTTTGGATGCGGAATCCAAGGGGTTCTTGGAGTTCTCGCATGATCCTGTGCTCCAACCCCGTCTGGACCTGAGTTCCATTTTCCAGGGTCGTCCAGGCCGTGAAAGGGAAATAGAAGCTGATCGAGGAGACCGTCAACGTCGCGTTTTTCATGCTTCGGATGTTGACGTCCTTGAAAAAATCTGACTGAAGACGAATCAAATCCTTCATCGCTTCGGCTTCGTTTAAATTCTTGACTCGCCACTCGAAGGTCGGTAAATGATGATAGTGAAAGAGCATGGCGTCGGTATCCAGGATTCCGACGCCTTGGATGTGTCGAAATGCCAGTATTAAATCGGAGATATTGTCTGTGAGGAGGAGGAGTCGCATGGAGTCGACCTTTGCGATCAAGTTCCGAATGTAAAACAACTTTGTCGGCAAGGAATCTCCATAAACAAAGGCGAGGAAAGCAGTGCATTTTCTCTGTCGGAATTGTATCCTCAATTGCTCGTCCGTGATTTCCAGGATTCGATAAAAACTCTGATCGTTGACGCCAAAGTTGGGTAAAAGAGACCTGAAACGACCCACCAATGTCAATTCCATCAGGTTGTCCCAGTCAATGATGAAGTGGAGGTCGCATTCCCTGGCATGAGGGGCGAGGAGTGTCGTCACTGCCTCTTCCAAGATCGACAGGTTTGGAGAGACTCTCGCGTCGAATTCCGGTTGATATGTGAACTCGCCCAGAATTGGACGGGAAAAAACGAGGAGAATGATCACAGGGAAAAGAAGCTGCATGTTCATGTAGGAGGCAAGGGAAAAAGGACGGACTTGGGTCCCAACCACGATATTTATCGTTCTTTGAATATGCGCGCCGACAGTCAGAGGCAAAAGGCTCCCTCCCACGGTTCGTCACTCCGAAGGACGATCAGATTCATTATGCATCCCCGTCCATTTCTCCGCATGTGCTCACCGAGTAGTTTAGTTCACGTCTCCTAAAAATTGTTCTGATGAACAGGAAGAAGTAGAAATTGGTATTGATGGATCCTAATCGACCAAAGACTGCGACCCGTTCACAAATCAAGCTTTCGCAAGGATGAGCCATGGTAATCCAATATTCCTGGAAGCCTCTGAAGCTGAATGCCACCCAAGACCAGGTATTCATGACAGCCAAGAATTTGAAGCAACTGTGCTCTTTTTACCCTATCACTCGCGTCTGCTGTGTCCAAGAAAAGGATCATTTTGAAAACTATTCTGGGATTGAATTAGTATCTCCCCCCCCCCCCCTTGGAATGCTTCTAATGATTCCAGGTAGTAACATCTTCCAGATAGGTTTCGTAAATCAAATAAAGCGAATCCTTTGGGAGTAGTGTTTTCTCTGTTCTTCACGACTCACGTTGGGAAGAATTCAATCCGAAAGCAATACACTATACTCCAAAGAATGTAAGGACCGTTCCAGTCATTATCAACATCAAACAGGGTCCATTGTTTTCTGCCAATTCGTTGTTGAGCCTCCTCATTCATCGTATCCAATCTCATGCATCGATTTTCTTAGTTTTCAAGCAGATATATGTCTAAAAAGTTCCTTGCAATTTGTGGTACGTCTGAGAAGCTAGTCCATTTATTTGTTACTATCCGGTGCCGTGTTCTCCTGCCCCTAGAGCAAGGATGCACAACCTTTTTCGTTGAAGGGCCACACTAACACTTCATGCACAATGCAGTCCGGACCGCAGAGGTTTGTGAAACTTTGTGGAAAACGACCGTGACTAGGTCTATCGTGAGGATTCAGTGCCGGCTGATCAATTGAGTGAAGACCGCAATTGAGGAGTTCTCTGGAAAAGGGGCGTATGTGCCCATACGCCCTTTTTCCATATCTGTGTCCATGGGCTGGTTTAGGTGACTAGTCATAGGATAGGGTGGTCAGCAAGTAGTTAACATGTTTATTCAGCAAAGGAGAAGCAGATTTTCCTATGCTCTCACTTTGTAGCAGGCCAACTGCCTGATAACTTCAATATGGCTGCCTCCATGAATATTCCATTAGCGTTTGCATGCTGAACGATTTTGGCGGAATTATTTCGTCCTTTTAAACTGAAAGTGAAAATGAGGAAGAAACCAGACATGGCGGAAAGGGAAAGAAAGAGGCGGAATCATTCAAGCCTCTGGAAGGATGTGAGAAGTTGGAGATATCCATGAAATAGTTGCAGATTCAGATGATGAATACATTATTAATGGATCACTGCTGAGTAATTTGTGGATGAAACGTCTCCTGAGTATTTGCATTTTCATCGCTATTCTTCAAGAAAGAGTTTATTTGAAATCTGTTGATGCATTTCTTGATCGATTATTATTTTTAAGTGGAAAGAAGTTGCGAAAGACTCGGAAAAAGTTTCAGCAGCGCGGATATGGAAAATGGGCGCATGTGCATAAACACTTTCTGCCAGCATCGTGAAATAAAGAAATTCATTAAAACCCCAAGTTCAATAGGAAAAAGGTCTAAGATACCATTTAACTGATAATTTAGTTTTGACCAGCTTCGGATTAGCTGTGGGAAGTTTTTATCGTTTATCTCGAATTGCATATTTTGCACGTACGCCCTTTTTCCAGAGAACTCCTCAATTGTTGCCACCGCGGGACACAAGGCCACAGCCCCTACTCAAGAGTTGTTGCTCCCAGGTCGGCCAGAACGTGAAGCGACTGCTATAATACCAGCATACCTCCATTTCACCATGACAGTGCCTATAGGTGAATTTGGAATGGGAGTTAGCCTTGAAACCTCTCAAGGAGACTTCGTACTATTGACGCACCCACAGAGCATTCCGCGTTGAAAGTCCGTTAGCTGTGCCCTGGGTGACATCTTGCAGTAGTATGAGGTCCTGCACATGCTTTAAACTTGTGCAGTACATTTCATGCAACCATAATGTAAATTGCATATGCAAGTGGTCTTCACCCTTGAGAGGTTGAGGTTTTCCAAAACCTGGTGTGTGTGTATGTCCCTACTGTATGTCCCAGTCACAATGGTTCTTGGCTACAGCAATGAAGCAGCGTTCTCAGCTTAATTCTACCCCTGCTTATCTGATTAAATATTCTTCATCCACTTTCCTCCTCATTTACAGATATGGCATAGTCAACTCCATCATACGGGTTTGTTTTTCCTCTCATGGGTTCTCAGTCTCTACTCAGGGCATAATGATGATCCGTGCTGTTTTTCCCTTCGTGCTGAAGGACAGGTTTTCTTGAATACTGCATTGAGATCGTTCGTGCAGACAGGACGTACCTGCCTTTCATGCGTCGAGAGTTTCTGTGTTCGTCTATTTTCCCGTGAGAATGCGAGCACATGGATCCATCCAATCACAGCTCTGTGATATGGAACGTGACGTTCCCGATTGCTTCCGACCGTTGAGAACGTCACGAAATTTCTCTGCACGAGGTGATTGATTTATCAATATAGGAAAGCAGTGAAAATGAGATCTCTGAGTCGATGGCCTCAATCAGTCCCCATCCATCAAATCTCCGAGACTGAGCAAGGAGGGGTGGGGGATCGAAGTACATGGATGTAATACTGAGATTACGACCTGTGGGGGAAAAAAAAAGAAATAGGACAAACGGCGATGAAAATCGTACAAGCCAACATGTAGGACACATTTGTCAGTTTATCACCAGTTGCAGGAGCCTGGAGACAAACTGATTAGCTCATTGACAAGTCCTGCTTTTTTTCGCAACCAGAATCTTCCCTTTAACCTCATTTAACCCCAACTAGTTACCCACTTTTCTGTTTCCACAGATAACTAGATATTCAATTTGACCCCAATGGTCATTCTGGAGTATGACCTATTCGGACTCCGTCGTCACTACTTTTCAGTCCA